AAAAAGTTTTCTTCACAGGTTCAAGGTAACGCCATGAGTAATTATTACAAATTGTCATTTTGCAGGTGAAGTATTCTTTTGGGGGAAACTGTTGTACTACAGGAAAATATATGAGTATGTGAATAATGTCAGTTTTGTGTTAAAAATCAAACTTCATTTGCTGCAAGAAATACCAGGTTTTCTCATAAAAGGGTGATATTATATTCCCAGAGAGTAACATCATTCTAAAATGTTGCAAAAACACTGAACCCAAGTAAACAAAAAACTGTGACATCAGAACATCAGAGAGGCACAGATACACTTGACTTTTATAGAGCAGTGAATTTACATCCTGAGCTAAAATCAATCCCGTCTGTATACGTCATGTGTTTGCATCTGATTCAGAATCAAAAGCCTTCCAGCTGCCAGGAATGTGATGAAAATGGGACATGAATGAGGAAGGAGGCGTTGCTGAAGGGCTTTTAAACCACATCAGTGCCTCACAGTTAACACAGAAAAGCCTCCAGCACAGGAATCAAATCAGAATTCAGTTTTGACAAATGAAAACTAGATAAATGTGTCAAACCCTCAGCGTTATCATGTCCACATCCTTCTTGCACAAAAAAGCATAAACTTGATGTTATTATGATCATCACAAAGTCCAAAAAAAGTAATTATACATCTTATATTTTCTGTTCCAAGCAGTCAGAAACTGTTGTTTATGACATTAAAAATGTGGTTGTTGGTTTAACACAGTAAGTAAATAGAAAGTAATTGTGATAAACACTGGCACCAGAACAGTTGGACAGGATGACAGAGATGTTTAGAGACCTAAAGTGTGCAGGTTGCAGGAGCCTGTCAGTGTTTCAATCAATACAACAAATTGAATAAACTCCACTTTGTAAATGCTGATTCGCCGATTAATCAAATGTAGGAGAAACTCTCAGCCAGTTAACGTTGCCTCCTAATTGGTCAGAGCTCGAGTTTTTACACACCTGAGGTCAAAGAAAACACCTGTGATTAAAAGATCACAGGTTTGATTCCTCGGAGCTGCAAAAGTGCTGCTTTGCAAGAAAAACTGAAAACTGCTACCTGCTCATTCAAATACTCCTTCCCCATTGCTTGCTCACTGTCTGTAACTGACAAAGATTACTACACCTGGGAGGCAAGAGGGGGGGCAGGAGGGGAGGCGCCAGCAACCCCGAGGGCAGCAAAACATTCTAATGCAGCTGGAAAACGTTGGCAGGGAGGATGAGTAAAAACTCTCCTGCTCTAGGTCAAGAAATGTTACAGTCAGAGCTCAGAAAGTAACTAAAAGTAACTTGACCTTAACATGACTGTTGCAATTTTTAAAGACTGCACATTTCCTAACCTCCAGTTCAAAAGAAGTTATTGGGTAATACTTTGGTTTACGACTCCCACAGCTTCACAAAAATTTCCTCGGAAGCAACTGACATGTAATTGTAATTTCTAATTAAGTTTCCTGGAACAAATGATGTCATTTGGCGCTAATTATAGGCAAAATGGAGACACTTCAAATTAATTCATTCAAATTAATTTGTAGCTGAGCCAAAAGAGTCTTCCACTGAGTGCACAGCAGGTCAGCTGACACGCAAAAATCTTTTTATAGATGTCTATCTTTTTCTGTTATTAACAGATTTTTTTATTCTAAGACCGTATTTCCTAAACTACAGGCTTCATCCCAGGATTGTGGACTATTTACATAATATCCTGATGTATAGTTATAATCATTCAGTTTTTTTAAGTTGTCGAACTTTGCAAGAGCAGTGGTCAGTCAGAATATCTTCAGATGCTTTATATCCCTAAAATCTGTAAAACCTAAGCTAAAAGGTTGTGTCAATAAAGCATAATAAATGAAGGAAGTACTGAAATTGTGTCATAACAAAATTACAAAATTTGCATATATTTTTCATCTGATTTTACAAAAAAAAACCACACAAAACATATTTATCCAAAACTTTTGAAATCTGGAAACATTAACAAAATATTTACCACTCCATAAGTTATTTAAACTTTTTACATTATATAGTTTTGTGAGCAGAATGCAAAGGCAGTGAGTCATTATTCATCATTCATTCCTCTGGTGTCACCACACGATTTGCACCACATGTAATGACGATCACGAGCATACAACATGACAACACAAGGACAGGAGCCTAAGCTTTCTGTCGCAAAAATAATTAATGTTCTAGTTATCATGGTTTTTATTTTAGATTATTATAGATTTAGATTTTAGATCTGATCCTCCAACAGTTATGATCTTATTTTAGATGAATATATACAGGATTACACAAACATTGATCTCCTGTGGAAATTATGGGGAAATATCACAGAAATAGTTACAGCAAAATACCACATTTGCATGGTACGTAAGGTAAGGTATGGTAAGATAATGTAAGGTCATGACGTGATGACAGAGAAGAAGACAGAGAAGCTTTCTGCCGCAAAAAGATTGAATGCCTGAGCTATTATAGTTCTTATTTTAGATCCATTTAAACAAGATCATGTAAACAAAGATCTCCCACAGCTGTCTGCAGGACATCTGTTTTTAAAAGGGTTCAAATTGAAAGAGTTTAAAATCCTCCTTGAGTTGCTCTCCTTTGCTCTGATATTTGTTTTCTATTATGTTTTAACAGCAGTGGTGAAATGTTACTAAGTACATTTACTCAAGCACTGTACTTAAATACAATTACCAGGTACCTGACCTGTACTACTTTACTTGGGTACTTTAATTTCTGCTGCTTTATACTTCTACTTCACAACATGTCAGAGGAAGATATTATGCTTTTTACTGCGTTACATTTATCTGACAAATTTATTTACTTTTCAGAATCCAATTATGAATACAGAATATTATCAACAAATAAATGATGATGTAATGTATTAGACTGAGGATTACTTAAAGGTCCAGTGTGTAGGATTTAGGAGGATATACTGGCAGAAATTGAACATAACATAATAAGTGTTTTCTTCAGTGTATAATCCCCTGAAAATAAGAATTGTTGTGTTTTCATTACCTTAGAAATTTATATCTACATAGTGAGCCGGTTTCACATAGACCGCTGCAGTTAGCACCACCTCCACAGCGAGAGCATTGGTAGGACACTGATTTTTTTTTTTTTTTTCTCTACGTGGAACTGCTTTATTCAGTGTTTTTACTTCTTTAAATCATCTGGTCTGTTTGTTTGGAGAGGAAGAGACCTCTGTGGATAATCTGGCTCTGAGGAATAACCTCCTGAACACTGAAGGAATTCCAACTTTCAGCTGGTTGCAATCTGCAGTCCTCACCACTTGGCGCCAAGAAATCCCCCTAAATCTTACACACTGGACCTTTAATATATTTTCATGCTAATATTTTTCTGCTTTTACTCAAGTAAAAATGGGGAAAGTTTCCACAGTATTTTTGTTTCCACTTTATGTGCATTACATTCTTGTCAGTTATCCTGGTTAAAGTGTGTTTTGTCTGGAGACTGTGTTTCAAAAGTGTTGTTTTGTTTCCTCTGGAGGTATTTTTATGGCCTTCAGAGCAGAATGCACTTTCTCTCATACAGTTGGTTAGTAAGCAAACTCCATAACAAGCAGGTGATGTTACCACATTGTCAGAGGATCACAACAAATATTTTTTTCTGCTCTCTGAGGAAATAAAAATGATACAGAGGCATCATTTAAATGTAATGACGCTACTTTTAGTGCTGATACCTTAAGTATTGATCTGCCTACTTCTTCAGCAAAATAAAGGAGTGCATCCTTGATGAGGTCATATTTCTTTCAGTGTGTGTTATTATTTTCTGTCTTAATTTACCCACCATGCTTTGTGATCGACCACAGGTTGTTCTATCAATCATTTTGCCAAAGGAGGCGTCACCTTGTTGAAAGAGCAGATCAATACTGAACATCCAGCAGACAGAATGAATGTGTTGAAGCTCTGTGTGTCTCGCTGTGTGTCAGTGTGTGAGTGTGTTAATTGCTCTCAGAGTGAGAGAACACAAACAGCCTCTCTGCTGTGTTGTTACAGTCTGCGTGGGCTTCTTCCGCTGCCTGACAAAAGAGAAAGTCAGTACCAACTTCAGTTTTGGTCAGAAATTACACTGTGTTGTTTCTGTGAACTCCTGTTGGAGTCAGAGGAGGAGGAGAGGATGAAGTGACTTCCTTATGAGCAGCAAACACTCTGCAAGCCAAAATGCAGCATAAAATCCCTGAAATGTCCATAATTTCTCCATTAATTCTTATTTGCTAATTCTTCATTTAAAAACAAGGAGAGATGTACTTAAATTGTATCATAAAATAATCCAGGCAGTAGTTTGCAAATACTTCTGCTTATAACCTGCTGTTGGCAAGTTTTACAACCTAATCATGATCCTGTAGCAGGACTCTGCAACCTGTGACATGCATTCAAACACAGGCCAGCAACCATCTGGCAAAGATGAGACCATAACACACAAATCTGCATGTGACATGGTGAGTGAATCTCTTAGGAGGATGAAGAAGTTTGGGTTCCAGGCGAGAGGAAATTGAGCTGTATGTGCTTTTTTGGGCAGTGTCACAAAGCAAAGAAGCTCATTTAAATCCCAGTACGCCTCCAAAAAATGCTGCAGAGGGTAGCTATGACATTTTGGAGTGCATTACAAACATGGGAAACCACTCACAGGTGGAGAGGACATAAATGAGGCTTTCCTCAACAGTGCAGAGTTTTTGTCTTGGCCTGCCAAATAGTGACCTCATCATATCCAGGATCAAAGGGATAGTTTGGATTTTTTTGTAGTGGGTTTGTATGGGGTACTTCTCATTACCTGCAAAAGTGCTCAATATAACAATAAAGGTTCTTCACTTTTGTTTTTGCTGCAAACTGCAAAGACCATTTATCTCTAACTTAATTAACCCCGAGAAAGGAATGGCTTCGACACTAAAATAATTCAAATGGCAAGTCTCTGCAAGTTAGTGTCTGTTCATGGAAAGAAGCTTTACACACACACATGGTGGCACAAATAATTAAGTCTTACCTTGTAGACCTGCCCGTAGGTGCCATTTCCAACCAGTTCAACCAGCTCAAAGATTCCAGCTGGGTCCTAAAAGAGAGAGAAAGGGAGATAAATGAAGAGGAGAAAATGGCGGGAACAAAAACAAAAAAAAAAACAAAAAACAAAAACTGGACTAAACTGAACACAAGATGGATTTAGGAATTTTTGTGTGAGGAATTTGACCTTCACACACGAACGCTGCACTGCATACCTGTGGTATTACCCTGTGAAAAGCCTCTCTCTCTCTCTCTGTATCACCACACTGTTATTATTACTTCAATAAGTAACCTATGAGCTTACAACCATGCTCCCTCTTCATTCTCACACAGCCCATCCCATGTTTAAATCCATATTAATGCAGATCAGGTTGAGCAGCTAGTTTCCTGTATAGCTGCTATCTTAGTGGTGTCTGCAACTCAACTGCAAATGCAGTCTTTAATTCGGTGTCATGCACTAAAATAACTGGGTTACTTCTGTCTTCTTCAACATCATGCAAACATGAAACCCTCTAGAGAAACCTAACTAATCAGCTTCATATATGTCACCACATGCATTGTAAAAGTCTGCAGACAGTAAAGCTGTTGCACACAGAAATAAATCCTCACATAAAATGATTCCGTCCAAAATCACTAAATGTCCAGATAAGTTGATTCTGTTGAGAAAGTAAAACCTGTGATGGTCTTAGGGGAAATGGTGGCGTTAACGTAAAAGCAAAATTCTTTGGAAAAATGCTTATTTGTTTTCTTGATGAGAGTTAGATGAGAGGATTGATACTGCTCATGTCTGTGCTGTGAATATGAAGCTCCAGCCAGCAGCCACTTAGCTTACAGTAGCTTAGCTCAAAGACTGCAAACAGGAGGTAACAGCTAGCCTGGCTCTGTCCAAAGATTTTTTAAAAAAATCTGCCTACCCGCACCTCTAAAACTCACTGATTAACACATTTGATCTTGTACAGACATTTAAGTGTAAAACAGAAAAAATGCTGTTTTAAGGGGTGTTATGTGCATGTAGTTTTTTCATGTTGGTGAATCCGAACAAACTTTAAAATACCAAACTCACACAATAACTGATGGAGGCAGTGGTAGAGCAGCAGCTCCTGTGTTCAGAGAGGTTGTATTACTGTTTTTGTCAGTGAACTCTGGCTTTGATGACAACATAGATAAGTTTCACTTTCAGTTCAGTTCCCCATAGAAAACAGCTGTCTGTTTAAAAAATACTGAGCATTTGACTAGATAAATGAGACTTGGATTATACTGCACAAGTTGTCTGAGAGTTTGTCAGTCTCGCCACCAGACAATCAGAGATCTCCGCCTTCTGATAGTCTGGGGACACTCCTTTCTAAAGTGTGTTTAACACACCGGAGAAAACGGAAGGCAACAAAGCAACACCTCTTGCATTTTTAAAAAGGACACACCATCACGGAAATGTGCGCTACCCCTTTTCTCGTCTGCAAGGAAACAAACACACAGAGAGCTTGAAAATGGATGCCAAGAGATTTAACTCAGTTTTATCAAACGTGTGCTCAGTCCACAAGATTGTGGAAATGAAGGACTTACAGCGACAGCGTATTTAAATCTTTTAACGCAGTCGGACTATGTTTACGAGCACAAGAGTTCAGCGAGCCACTGAAGGACCGCCCTGCAGATTTACTATTGGTTCTGCAACGTAAGGAGTTTTTTTAAACTCTGAAATTGTATCTGCCCATCTAACACAAAATCAGAGAGAAAGACATCAGTCTTTCATTAAGCAAAGCGTCTAAAGACTGACTTGTGAGTCTTCGAGTTTGTAAACAGATGTTTTGACACAGTTTTGCTGCTGTTAAATGCGGTCACCTATAACTTATATTCATCATGAATTTTCTCCATTTTTGGATTCTTCATTCAGCATGGAAGAATACAAATTTAACATAACTGGTGATGAGAAATTGATAAACAAATGATTAATTGGAGGGTTAAGGGCTCCTTTAATATTTTTTGCTTTAGCAGCCGTTAAAGGAAAAGTTTCAACCAGTGCAGACTCCAGAAAGGCACATAGCTCCCAGTAAAACAACAATTATTCAAGTTTTTGTAAGATCTAAGGAGGCATGCGAAGAAAATAGTTTTCATCACAAATTCGACTTAACACGGAGTAAGTAACTGACAAACAAGTGGTTATTTTGAGCGTAAGTATTTCTTTTAGCAATTAACTCCCCATAAAAGTACTTTTTACATTTTGCTTTTTGTTCTTATTGAACAAAGATATAACATAACATATAACATATAACAGTCAGTGAGCTTCAGAGGTGCTTGTAAGTTTAGAGTTCATTAACCTTTTATCATTTTCTCAGGTTCAAAAATACAACTGTCATTGAAAACACAGAATTACTTTGCTATCATAACATCAATGCTAAACAGACTATGGAATTTACAATAGACAAAAACTTTACTGTTACTATGAAATATCAATACAAGGTAAGCCACAACATTTTAAATAGGCTAAAGATGTACAAAAAGACCCAGATTTAAAATTACAAAAGTTCACCTTTAGACAGAACCAGGCAAGTTGTTTCCATGTTTCTAGCTTTCTGCTAATCAAAGCTAAGCTAACCAGCTGTAGTATTATGCAGAGTATGATCACTGACAGTGACCGAGGATACCCAGATAAAGGCCAGCAGGTGAACTGAAACACACACATACACACCACACACAGGGGAGATAATCTTATCTTCAGGCTGATTAAAATTCAACAACACACAACACATATCTTGATCGCTTGATCTTACGCATACCTGTGTGCTTGTTATCTGTATTAGTGTGTGTGTGTGTGTGTGTGTGTGTGTGTGTGTGTGTGTGTGTGTGTGTGTGTGTGTGAGCGTACAGTAGGCCACAAGAGAGTTGGGACTATCACAGTGGAGCCTCCTGAAGGGGATTAGCTTAAAAAGCTGCATTTCTTTTCACTCAAGGTCAAATTGAAGCACATCTAATCCCAGAAGACCGCACCTCATTCACACACACTCACACATGGCTGTTACAACCCCCCCACCCCATAGTACCACACACATTAGAAAGACAAAAGCCAAGAAGAAAGGGGGATACCAGGACCTGATGCAAGAATGTAACCAAGCCCCACCTGCAACTTGCTAGCAGCTAGGAGGCTAGTGAGATTTCCCATTGACATGTAGCACTTGTAGATACTACAGTAACTACAGTTATGAAACAAGTTAAACAAGTTTAATATAATCACAGCACTTTTAGAGCACATAGCTTTTAATTATAGCAATTATTTTTAATTACATCGTACTGTGCAGCTGTACAAAACTAAATTATGCTGTCATGCTAAAACTTAGAAACTTGGAGCTTATTTAAACTCTCTCAAATTTAACATCACGGAAATCATAGTAAATTTTGATAGCACCACCACTGACCACTTTGTCCCCTTTTGTCACAACTCTATTGCCAGATAACAATGCCAGTACTGAATGATTTGTGCACCCAGTGCTAACATTTTTTAAAGTCTTACTTTCTACAAACTGTTTAAGTTTAGGGCAAGATATAAGTAATGCCAAATAAACTTTTGGTAAAGTACGGTCAGGGTGAGGCAACCATGACACTCAGTTATTGGTAGAAAAGCCAAACATTGCAGGTCTCTGAGAGGACACGAACTACTGTATAGTCTCTTTCATTACAGTCAGATGTGATAGGAGCATTTTTTACACACAGTGTTGCACCACAATTTCGCCTTGCTGTTCTGTACAGTATAAAAGGTACAGACACAGAATGGGGGACACTGTTGCTCCACTACTAAGCTGGCAGCAGAGATAGTCACAGAGCCAAAACAACATTTGTGTATGGTACAGCTGGCATGGCAGGACTACACGAACACACACACTAGATGCCAACGCTGCTGAGTTATATGTCGTGTCCCTTTTGCTTTGGAAATGCCAGCATGCTATCTAAAGTCACACACCGGTGCTGGCTTTGTTTGGTTAAGTATACAGCCAGAGATACTTTAAACCATGCATAGACAACCGCCTGCATCGTGAACAGAATTGCATTTACTTGCCTGTGTGCTACCTGTGTTACTATATGACTCCACTAGAGGGCCCCCCAGAGAACTTGGACCATATAGAACAGATTTACACAATGTTAACAATACACATGGAAACACTCTTAGAGGTTACTATGGGTGCGTTCATAAAAGCAATCTGACAGTTTTTTTAATTAAAATTAGAGTGCTGTTGTTCAAAAAAACCTCTAGAAAAAACCTCTTTTTCTACATGAGTTAACAAACGGTTAAGTAGACTTGCACTGATTTATCGTCAGTGCTCGAAATCGGGCCGGTTTTCACGTGATCGGCCATGACCTGCGACTGACCGGCCAGTCTAAAATATGCCGCTTTAAAACGCCGGTCAAATTCCCGGCACGCCGCATGATTGACATCGTGTAACATCAGCAGCGCACACACACGCACATGTGCAACTCACAGCTTGGGCGATGTGAGGAAGTGAAACATGGGTGGCTTCTAACATTAATCATTCATGCACACACATCAAAAGAGAGAAGGAGAAAGTTGTTAATTGTCCGTGTTAAACTGAACTGCGGAGCTCTCACTGCTGCACTGTGCCGCTGGAAACTGATGAGGCACATGTCCGCGTGCCGAAGATGCGAATGTCCACGCGCTTACTGCCAGGCGCGTCCTGAAGACCTGTGTGAATTTTCCACAGGAGATATTTTTACTTTTTTGTCTATTCAAGTAATTACCCACAAATGCTATACACCAGAAATTATTATTTTATTTATCGATATTTTTATTTATGTACGCATTTTTTACTTATTTATTTTAATACTGTACCTGAAGTTATATTTGAGCAAAAAGAAAAATGTTTCTTAACCTGTGTCATTGTTTTTGTTTGTTTGTTTGAGATGATTATTGAAAAGGTGGTTGTATCTTGGTTAAAATGTTCGAATAAAGCAAAGATAGAAAATTGCAATATCTTGTGTGCTGTAAAGTGGTTTGAAAAAAATGAAATCGGAATCGGACATCCAAACACTCTGCAAATCGGAAATCGGTATCGGCCCAAAAAATTGTAATCGGTGCAAGTCTACGGTTAAGTGACTCACACATTCACTCCGCTTGGTGCTCTGCTGCTCTGTCTTCCCAGACAGAGAGCCCATGTGTGCTCTGCTGTTCCAAGTGTGTGGTATTCTGCATAATTCAACTGTATATTCCAACAGCACTTCAAATTTACAAACGGTTTGGTTTGTGCCAGAATGCACTTTATCGCTTGCAGTATTTCTGAATGCACCCTGTATGTTGATTCAGAAATCACAACTAACCACATTTTGGCAAACATCATTGATGGTGTGTTTCAAAGTGGTGGCACTATGTTTCTCTGGTTCTACCAACACTGCCCCTACAGTTCGTGTGTTAGCAAGGCAACCATCAGCCTAAAAAAAAATAAAGCCGTGCCGGATTAATCTCTGTTTAAAAAGAGCTACATACACTTTCTTTCCTCCTCGTTTCACAAATGACACAACACTGAATTTAGACATCGGCCGTAGATCTTGAGGTGCAGAATATGGACATAATTCCAAGTGATTCATAGTTATGGGAAACCATAGTATCTCTTGATACCTACAGTCAAAAATGTAGCAAATTTAGTTTTCAAATTAGATGTTGGTTATACTAAAATGTTTAAGTTCTAGTGTGTAGGATTAAGGGGGATATATTGGCAGAAATGGAATATAAGAAATGTGTTTTCTTTTGTGTATAATCTCCTGAAAATAAGAATCGTTTTGTTGCTGTTACCTTAGAATGAGTCCTTCATATGTACATAAGTGTACACTTAGTGCATGTATAGGTCCTGTTTGTGCATGTGTGTGTTCAGACCTGTGTGTAATTGACAACAAGAGTGAAAAAATTGAATTTAACCTCTGGGATTAATAAAGTATATTAAAAAAAATAAATTAATTAAAACAAAAATAAGGAGTGAGTCTATGGAGTCTGCTTTGTTGCACCACCATGTTTCTACAGTAGCCCAGAATGAACAAACCAAACACCCTCTCCAGATAGGGACATTCACATTTTCGCATCAGCCACAGTAGTTGATGAGGTGGGTGAACTACAAGGTAAATGGGTAGGTTACAGAAGAGGAAGTGCGTATACTTCCCTGTATATTCCAATGGCTTTTTGGCTGATAGGTGGGTATACTTAAACAGTCAGAAAAAGAGGTGGGTATGCCCCGTATACCTGCAAGTATCTGCTTTGGTCAAGTTGGTTAGCTGACTGACTTAAATCACAGGGTCTGTCTGTTTTGGAGAGGAAGAGACCTCTGCAAATTATTCAGCTCCTGGTAAAAACCTCCTGAATAATGAACACTGAAGGATTCTAACCAGGAGAAGTTTCAGCTGGTTGCAATCTGCAATACTCACTGCTTTATGCCACTAAATCCCCCTAAATCTTACACAATGTTCATCTAAAGGGGATTTGGGACAACCTAGGATTCTTTGTCATAGTTTTGGCAGTTGGTTTCAATAATATGTTTCTCATTTAATTCCTCAGAATTGACACTGCAGGTCAGAGACAAACAAGTCCTCCATGTCGTAGCTGTTCTTGAGCTTTCTGTCATATCTATCCATAGGAAACATGATGTGAACAGCAGTTGCTGCTGGTGTCCAAATCACACACTTACTGACTGAGCCAAGACTCAACCCTGAGAGGTTTTGGGGCTCTTAAACAGCATCACACTACTGAAGTGCGAGAGATCGCGCTAGGGCTGCTACACAGTCCCGGCTTTATACTTCCTTTGTACTTTTACACAGAGCATAACAATGACAACGTATATGTGTTTGCCAATTCATGTTTCTCGCTATGTCAGTTATTCTATGTTCTGTACGGTGACCTTGGGTGTTTTGAAAGGCGCCTTTTAAATAAAACGTATTATCATTATTATCATTATTATTATTATTGTTATTATTATTATTATTATTATTATTAACGACGGCGTCATGCCGCTCCAGTGTGTGATTTTAGACAGCAAGCTGGCATTGCGGAATCAAAGGAGGCATGACGGGTGTGACGTGTAACACAACAGTGTCAGCCTCTGGTGTGACACATAACATACGCGTAGGCACCGCTTTATGAACAGTTACAAAGGCATTACTATGGCAATAACAAACATTTACCATGCCTCTTTTATGGCAGCTGATCTTGTCCTCTGCCTGGGGTTAAGGAGCTCCTGGACCTCACTGTTTTCCCAATTTGCGGACATTTTTTGGATGCTGTTCTTCTTTGAGTTAGCTGCCAATTATTAGTTTTTAAATCTTGCGCAGTGGGTCGCACGCATAACACATCACACCCATGGCACCTATGATCCTGTCCTGCCTGCTGTCCCATTTATACAGACATCTTTTCAGCACTGTTGCTACTCCCAATGCTGGCTTAAAGGCAAGACAACTCGGTCCCCTAATTCCGCGATTGTACTTTTTACACAAAATCGCAAGACAAAATAACGGTGTGAAAGTCCTGCCTTGAAAATGCAATGTAAAAGGGGCTTGTGTATTCACCTTTGCTTCTCTCAAGTAATCAAACTATAAATCATTTTAGGCTTTTATACAAGTCAATACTGCTGTCATTTTTCTGCTGATGATGTGTTCAGACTCAGCTGAAGTACTTACAATATTTGGAAGAGAAAATTAAGGTAAAATAATTACAGACTTCTTCTGTGATTCATATTTGAGCTACTGCAGTGGTTTTTGTATGCAGCGGATGATTCTAACAGACACTTCGGGGGTTAAGGGCAGAGATGCAACATGCATTTCCACATCGGTGGTTTGGATAATATGACTAAACAGTTGATTTGTTCACAACCTGAACGCTCATGTTCCCAACCTGCTGGACTCTTCTAGAGATGCCGCCACATCCTGACATCTCTGCAGTGAAGTAGAGACCAGAACTGATGGCAAAACTAGACACAAAGACCCAGATTGGACATAAAAGTTCTCCTTTGGAAGGGCATTAAAATGCACTCTTTTCCCCACCTGAATGAACTGCGTTATGTCTCAATAATGGAAAAGGACATCAGATAACAAAGACATGACCTCTGTGTGGCTGTCAGGACTCTAACAGCTTTTAATGCTGTCTCTGACCCAAGCTATCAGAGGAATATAACCTCAGACATTTCAGAGTCTGTCAGTGTGGAGGATGAGGACTTCGGCTCTGATGCGAGACACAGTGAGATGAGGAGAAGGAGAAGGTAAATAAGGAAGGTGAAGACACGTCAAGCTACTTGAGGAGAAGATCAGAGGAGATCATTTTGGGATGAGAAACAGGAAGCGTATGCTTGCGACAGGCTTTGCGTCACGCTGAAATGTTTCCCCCCAGCTCTCTCTGCTCTGTCCTGGGTGACCTAATTTCTAGTTGTCATGACACAGAGGGAAGAGAGCAAGGATTCTCATTTTTACAAGAACATGCACATCACTTCTGATCCTTCTGTCTGTCTGTCTAACTGTATCTGTCCCTCAGTGTGTGTGTGTGTGTGTGTGCATGTGTGTGTGTCTGTTTCTGTAAATCACACACAGACATGCAGTCCCACCCGGTCGATCAAGTCCAGACTTGAGTGTTGCTCTGCAGGTATAACTGTGTTGCGTAAGCAGCAGGCAAAAGGAGGAGAGAAAAAGGGGAGCTGTGTAGAATAACACACAAACACACTCACACACACACGTGCAGTGTGTAGTTCATCTTCAGCTGAGCAGTTAAATCCAAATAATAAATCAAGTTTAAATTCTAAATGTAACATCACTGTGTCACCCAGCTTCATCCCTCACACGCTCACACACACATTCCTACACTGTCTCCTTCTGCACACCTCTTCTACTCGCGTGCGCGCACGTGCACGCGCACAGACTCACAAACAGCCACTGCGATGCAATGCTGCTGTCGCCACAACATCACGAAATGGCGGAACTCGCTCTTGTTGCGGTTATCATCGCTATTATTCACGGTGTGTGTGTGTGTGTGTGTGTGTGTGTGTGTGTGTGAGAGAGAGAGAGAGAGAGAGAGAGAGAGAGAGAGAGAGAGAGAGAGAGAGTGTGTACAGCCTATGTGAGAGAGCGTGCATTCGTGCGTGCATCTGTAGCCTCTGAATGTGTGTGTGTCTATGTGTGTGTGCTGTGAATCTGTCAGTGAGCAGGCAGCTTAACATCTGCCCCACATAGTACAGACAGATCGGCCTCTATTATGCTGTCTGACGCACGCGCGGGAGGGTGGGTGCACGCGCGTAACAGCAGCAGCAGCAGCAGCTCAGGGCCTCATTACATCACGTCCCAATTGTTAAGAAAAAAACATCAACAACAAACAACAACAGGAGTGTCGGTGGGAGGTCACATGATCCCACATTCTGTTATCCGACCTGATTTCCTCAATCACTGGCCGCCGTGTGCGAGCACAACAGCCCACACACACACATACATACATACACAGGCTACATGCACGCGCACGCACACCACCAGGCAGCAAAACCAGAGGAAAGCGCAGGGAGACGCACCCTTGCGCGGTGCCTGGAGATGAGGGAGTGGATGAGGATGAAGAGGAGAGGGGAGGGAAGACGGGAAGAGGGGGGTGGACAGGTGCTTAACAGACTCACACGCACGCGCACACATAGACACATACACCAGATGCACGTGCACACACAGGGAGAGACATTTACCCGTAGTGCAGACAGGTCTATCTCGTCCAGACTCCGCGCAGGGGAGTCGCTCGCCATGGTTCTCTCGGTAGATACGGGACTCAAGATGGAAGCTTCCTCAACGACCATCGACCGAGAGGTGCAGAGCGGCGGCGATGAACACACACAAACACTCCTCTAAAATAAATAAATCCCCCCACCCACCCCCAAAAAAATCCCCGAAAATCCACGCGCAGGCGATGCTTTCCCGAGAAGAGAAATGACCGCTCCAGGAGGGAGAGAAGACGGAGGGAGCAGCGCAGGAGGGGAGACGATGTGCGCGGTGCTCCAGGTGCTACATGCTGCTCGGCGCGGTCAATCCGGTGCTACATACCTCCACCTCGACACCCAAGCTGGACCGGACAGGAGAGGACTGGGGGTGACACACGCGCACGCGCACAGAAATGGAGCGAGAAAGACAAGAGACCGCGACGGCAGGAGCGCACAGCAGCCGAGGCGCACAGAGAGCGAGCACACTCCGTCCGTCGGTCCGTCCGTCTGTGTGGCGGAACAGCAGCGCGCTTCCCGGGAGTGGCCTGTGAGGAGGCTGCGCTACAGACAGAGACGCCCACAATGTCACACACACACACACACACACACACACACACACACACACACACAGGAGAAAGATGTTCATTTACACAGCTGTCTGTTCCTGTATGGCAGCTTATTAAGGACAAAACTAAGTGGTGATCGATCAAAAGCCTGAGCTGCAGGGCACAGTCACACACACTGAATTAAATGTAACCCATTACATAGAACTTATGTAATAATATTAAATATATGGAAAATTGTCATGTAGGCCTAATTAAAATACTTAAAGCCAACGTTTCTGTTATTCATGTATGTGTCCTTTGCCAAGGTCTGAATTGATCACATTTCACCCATAAAACTTTTATTTGGACCATACATTACAGATTTAAAGATCTCTGTAGCATCAAAAGGTTTTACATTTAACTAGTGAAAGTTGTTGACAAAAAGCTACCAGTTGTGATACGGTGCTGTTGAGGTTGGTTAGCAGCCTCAGACGCAACCTGCTACCGTGCTCTTGAAAGATGGCACAGAAAAGGCGCAAGGGTAGCATCCAGCGTCTGACCTTGTGTTTTCCAGGTGGCTAAAGATACAGTATTTGTGCAGCCCCTTAAAGTCATTTTTCTTATAATACTAATAATAATAATAATAATGATTACTAGTCCATACCCAACCTTCTACCTATGCCAATCCTCAATGCCTATGTGCAGTTTCACATAGATTGAACTCATCAGTGAGTAGAAAAACGTGGGACAGACAGAATGACACACTGACAGTTTCCGTGATTATGTACAGCATACCATACCATGACTTAGTCATACCAAAAATGAGAAAAAAAAACCAAACATTGGGCCACAGGGGGAGCCACAGCATTTTAGCCATTTTTAAGCATTTTTCTGTTGTTATAGCGCCACCCAGTTGCCAATTAGAGTTAAATTTCTCCAGTCACCTTGAGGCGTCCTGTTCTACATATCTACCAAGTTTAGTAAAAATCAATATGGCGGTTAGGCCTAGATAAGCAATCACGTAGCTCTCTAGTTCCCCCATTTTGTTTGATCGGGTCAATAATGGAGGGGTCCCCTCAGATTATATGTGGTCATATGCCTACAAAGTTGCGTGGTGATGGGTGAAACCCTTGAGATGTTATACACCTTTATGTGATGAGCCATGCCCTCCGCAATATTCATTGCCTTATAGAAGCTCAGTTTTAGTAAGTTTTAGAACTTTAGATATTGGTCCCTAGATTATGTTCACCCAGTTTCATGCATATCGGTCATACTTCCTAGGAAGAGATCGATTTTAAGTGTTTTTCAAAAAATTCAAAATGACAAAAAATCTGTATCACCGGAAGTTATGGGTTCTTGAGCCAATTTTGTTCCTCATGAGGAGAGGCATCTCTGTGCAAAGTTTCATGTCTGTACGACATACGGGGCATGAGATATGCCCATTCAAAGTTTGCAATTTCAATCGGTTGCTATAGCGTCCCCCTTTGGCCAATTGATGTAATATTGCTTCATTCACATCCTCCCATGACCCTCTACCACTGTGCCAAATTTCACATGGATTGACCAAGTCAGTGAAGAGAAAAACATGGAACAGCCACACAGACACACCCACAGACAGAGTTTTCGTCATTATATGGTAAGATAATAAACTCTTTTGATATAGCACCTTTCCAAACACAGTTACAAAGTGCTGCACAATGTCTATCTATCTATCTATCTATCTAAAAACATGACATCAATAAAGTAGACAGACAGCTCAGATATGTTTTTAGGACAGACTTAAACAACAACAGTGACTCAGACAGATAAATATATGAACTTTTCATTTTGAGTTTTTGGTCTGGCTACATTCCTGTTCCCTACAGAACCAGCTCCTGTTGTTAACCAGCACCTTAAATACCATTTGGAACATAATTTATTACATTGATCGTTTTGTCATTGATCAGTTTCATTAATCAGTTTCAGAGGTGTTTAAACCATAACTTTAACAGATACCAGTTCTTACACTTTTTACCTTCCATAATGTCATAACATTGTATTTATGCTGTTTGTTTTCATTCAAAGACACAGAAACACTGAACTCCAATTTGATGTTATTTTATTATGACTAATGATGGTATAAAAAAGACAGACAGACAGACAGATATATCAATAGAGAGTCTTACTCTATAATGACGAAAACTCTGTCTGTGTGTCTGTTCCATGTTTTTCTCCTCACTGACTTGGTCAATCCATGTGAAATTTGGCAGCCTCAGACACATCACCAAAAGGGGGACGCTATAGCAACCGATTTAAATTGCAAACTTTGAATGGGCATATCTCATGCCCCGTATGTCATAGAGACATGAAACTTTGCACAGAGATGCCTCTCCTCACGAGGAACAAATTTGCCTCCAGATCCCATAACTTCCAGTTATACAGAATTTCCGCCATTTTGAATTTTTTGAAAAACACTTAAAATCGATCTCTTCCTAGGAAGTATGACCAATATACATGAAACTGGGTGACCATAATCTAGGGACCAATATCTAAAGTTCCCTCTTGGCAAAAGTTGGAAAACTTACTAAAACTGAGCTTCTATAAGGCAATGAATATTGCGGAGGACGTGGCTCATCACATGAAGGTGTATAACATCTCAAGGGTTTCACTGATCACCATGCAACTTTGTAGGCATATGACCACATATAATCTGAAGGGACCCCTCCATTATTGACCCGATCAAACAAAATGGGGGCACTAGAGAGCTAATTTCTTATCTAGGCCTAACCGCCATATCGATTTTTACTAAACTTCGTAGATATGTAGAACAGGACGCCTCAAGGTGACTGGAGAAATTTAACTGTAATTGGCAACTGGGTGGCGCTATAACAACAGAAAAATGCTTAAAAATGGCTAAAATGCGACCAATCGCTGTGGCTCCCCCTGTGGCCCAATGTTTGTTTGTTTTTTCTCATTTTTGGTATGACTAAGTCATGGTATGGTATGCTGTACATACTCACGGAAACTGTCAGTGTGTCATTCTGTCTGTCCCACGTTTTTCTACTCACTGACGTGTTCAATCTATGTGAAACTGCACATAGGCATTGAGGACTGGCATAGGTAGAAGGTGACAAAGCTACCAATGGGTATGGACTAGTAACCATTATTATTATTATTATTATTATTACTATCATTATTATTATTATTACAGAAAAATGACTTTAAGGGGCTGCACACATACTGTATCTTTACCCACATGGAATTGCCAACTTTCAAGAGCACGGTAGCAGGTTGCGTCTGAGGCTGCTAACCAACCTCAACAGCACCGTATCACAACTGGTAGCTTTTTGTCAACGACTTTCACTAGTTAAATGTAAAACCTTTTGATGCTACAGAGATCTTTAAATCTGTAATGTATGGTCCAAATAAAAGTTTTATGGGTGAAATGTGATCAATTCAGACCTTGGCAAAGGACACATACATGTACACTCCAGATAAAGCATTAACTGACAGGGGTGAGCACACACACATCAGGGGGCGACCACCCTGCCCCCATGGGACATTTTCGTGTTTCATTTATGTCTTAATGTCACATCAGAGAGAAACTTAATTGGTAATGTTAGTGCCCTCTGATCAGTCCACCTCCTGTCTGTGCCTCTAATGTACTCCATTAACAGAGATAAGCATCTGATTCTCCAAAAAATGTATAACCAGCAACCTTTGAAACAAAGAGAAGGTTGTTTAACAAAACTTCCTGCTGGTCTGGAGGTGTTTCCAGAATCCTTTGTGATTTCCCAAAACTGAATAAATACCACACATAGCAACACAAAACTGCTTTGCTAGCTCAATCATGTTGTAACTAAGATATCCGCTGGAAAAGATATTTTTTTCACGGACCGTTTAATGGGTTATTATCTATTACAGACACTGCTAACGGCTAACAGGGCTAACAGCTAACGGTTAGCCCAGCTAAACGTGCACACAGAAATAGTAATGTTTGTTCAATCATTGTGTTTATAGACTTTACAAACATCGGATTAGTCCAAACGGTGATACAGTGATGTGAAAAATGTGATATATAGGCTATATATATAGCTAAAAGCTCTGCTGGTTTTCTACCCGGAAGTATTTGTAAACAACAAGGCGATTCCCTCTATAGTCCGGCCGGACGGATGAGTCATGGCCTTGTAAAAGATTATGTTTGTTTCTTTTAGTTGGCGAGAATGTGTCGCCGCAAACGCGATAAACATCCACTAACTTTGGCGGAGTTTTCTGCGAGTGCGGCTGAGCCATTTTGTACCGCTACACGTGTTTCTAGTCGGACTATGTTTACAAGCACAAGAGTTCAGTGAGCCACCGAAGGACCACCCTGCAGAATTACTATTGGTTCTGCAACATAGGGAGTTTTTTTAAACTCTGAAATTGTATCAGACCATCTAAACACAAAATCAGGGAGAAAGTCATCAGTCTTTAGTTAAGCAAAGTGTCTAAAGACTGACTTGTGAGTCTAGGTCTAAACAGGCTCACTGGGAGACATCACTCAGACCATTTGCCAAGGTGGTCTGGGATGCATGTGACCACATATTTTTAGTAATGGGAGTCCCCAACAAGCATGTACCAGTAAAATATGTTATCAGTGCAGGACATGGTGGTTGTTTTAGTAACAGCTTGCTAGCGCTCTATAACTTATCCATTTTACGATGAGTTGGAGGAAGTATTGCTTGACCGTCTATCATTTTGCCCTGTGGAAGGAAATGTGTTCGCTGATAGCAATACCTCCAGCTGTACCAGCACAACTGCTATCATGACTAGCAAGGGTGTGGACCTAACTGTGTGTAAGACCCTTTGACATTCTCACAAAAGTGTCATAAGTAGTAATGAAAAGTGAACGCAGGTGGTCAGCTGGAGATGCATGATAGACATAGGAGTGAACAGTGATGTGTCTCAGCTGTCCACTTGTGGACAGATCACTAAAATGCATGTAAATACCAGAGCTATGTCAGC